CTTTGGCTATTCTTGGGCTACTCAAATATTTTACGTTTTTGATACTAAATTAACTTCTGACGTATAATTTTTTTATTGTTTTTATATTTTTCAATATATTTATTTTGTTTGTACAAAATAAAAAAATAATTTTTAACGATACAATAGTCTTCGTTAGGCTTAACATCGACGAAAATTGAAGCAACATGCAACGGAAAAAAATGTCAAGATGGAATAAATTAATATATTTTTTGTATATAATCGGTTATCCGAAACATCGACCTTCCGAACAACCCCAGTCCCCAATTGATTCGGATAATCGACGCTCTACTGTAATTACAAAAAAGAAGCCCAATGTAATCCAATGGTTATTTGGTTAACATAAAGTTAACATTAAGTAATTCAGTTTTAATTGTAATAATTAAAATTTTATGCAAATAATTGTATGGTTATCTGTGTTTGAAAGTCAATTTGAAAGGGAACACCAGCTATGCAATGATCCAGTTTTCTGATTTTAACTTGCAATTTAGAAATCATCATCATTAAGTTTTTCCTTTCTTAAAACTCACCAAAATCATCTTTAAAATGTATTTAAAAAAAACCCATGCATACTGCTAACATATTTATCTAAATATCAAAATTTTTCCCCAAACTACTTAATAATCATATGATCCTCCCTTAATTCTCTTCAGTTCATTTCTTTAGCCAACCATACTTTAATTGGTATAAATTCATTATACAGTATAAATTCAAACAGAAGTTTCAAGGGGATGACCTGGTACATTGTCGATTATTAGCATCACTTTAAATGGAATTTGTTTAGATTGGCAATAATGTTCGACTTCAGGTATGAAGTGATGACCAAACCAGTCCTCAAAAAGGGAAGCTGTCACCCAAGCTTTTCAACTTCCAAATCACAGGCAACATAGCTTTGAATTTCTCTGGATTGTAAGATGCAGCCTCTTTATCAGCACTTTCCGCCTCTCCACTTTCTGCAATGCCATGCCAATTACAGTGACTTTTGAATTGGCTGAACCAACCGTTACTAGTTTTAATCTCTTCATCTTTAGCCACCTCTCCAGCATCCTCTTTCAATCTCTCAAAAATCAGCTTAACACGCTGGGATCTGATCAACAGTACAATTTTTCACATTTAATTGATTATCGCACCATAATTTTAACATTGTTTCCATCTCAGCAATAATACCGCGACGTTTATGAATGGTGCTTGAATTTAAAGATTGAGCATTTTTCACAACTTTGAGAAATTTTTTTTACCTTTTATAATTGTTCTAACCATCGATTCCGATAAATCAAACTCCTTTGCAAATTCACAAATTTTCATTTTTCTATCGAAGTCTTTAATAATGTTAGCTTTACATTCCAAAGATAAAGTTTTTCTTTTCTTTTTTGATGCAGAAGAATCAGTTCTACTTTGTTTGGATGACATAGTAGAGTTTCTCAAGTCTCTGTAGATATAATGAACACAGAAATAAATAACACAAAATAAATTGTAGCTATGCGTCAATTCCACGCGACACGTCCGAACAATAGTGTGGGGAGACTGAGTAATCAAGAGTTGCGTGGCGCTCAAACAAAACATGAATCGACGGGATTTGAAAATCGCGTAAGTCGGGGTAGCATAAGTCAAGGTATTACTGTATTCATCCAGTTTGTCATATAACCAGTTTCAATAGTTGCTCTATAGGCATGATGTTTATGATGACACAGGTCATGTAAAAGTTTCATTTCCATTTTAGCAATTTTCTGCAGAGTATATGCTGTCATAGGTTATATGCATAAAAATACAGTGTATATTTATGTTTATTATTGATCTTTAATACAAAAAGATAGCATTATTTCCTTATTTCTTTAAAAACTGATATTTTACGTTGATAGTAGTGGAGTTCTAGCCAAACTCTCAACTCCCACTTACCATGTGGATACATTGCCAGTTATGCTACCTGAGCCTCCTGTCTGATCGCCTCTTCCAGACATATTTAAATATGATATAACCATTCTCAGTTACTTATGAGTGATAGTTGGCTGAGTGCCACAAGTAGGAGTTTATAGAGCGCTGAAGGTCAGCATTCTATAAAGTCGAGTCAGTACTGTAAGTAACTGAGAATAGTTATATCATATTTNGTGTGATACCACACATGCTACACAAAAGCCTGGGAACATTACAATTGAGTAGAAATACATACATCACACTACAGAAGGCCGCTATATTGAATACATGCCATATTGTTAGGAAATTCCTTAATACAGACACTGACACACACATTTAATTTTAGTTTTGTTTTGGTTGCTATGCCTTGACTCTGGTCCGGCATAGTACACAACCACCGGTTTAAACCGAGTATTACCTACTAAACCCAACATAATAATTTAAACAACAAAATTTAAAATTTTCAAACCTTGATGACTGAGCAGTAAAATTAAAGAGAACTTTAGCCATTGTATGAATTTCTGATGTTTTTGTCATAGTTGCAGATAATTCAAATGGATTATCATATCGATTCAAAGGAATAGGAGACTTCTGAGATGGCCTATGTAAATGCAGAATAAGAAAGATTAGTTTTTACATTTATAGCATCATTCATAAGAAATGACTATAATTAAAACATAATTGTATAGAATTATATTTTAATCACTTGTTAAATAATAAACTTATTATTAAATTTGAAACAACCACCAAACCACAACCTTTATAAATAAGTACCCTAGTAATATTACTGTATGTAGTACTGAATGACATAATTTGAAACATTCAAATAATGTAAAATGGTAGGAAAGGATATGAGACAATATAAGTGAATCTGACAATAAAACATTTGAATGTTAAAAAAAAAAAGGAAAATAATTATTATTATTATTGTTAATGATATGATCTATGTAATTTTAAAATGTTTTAATTCTGTTTTTGTGCCGTGGGTATTTCCCACAGATGGCACTCAAGTTCCAGGTAAAACAAAAAAACAGCCATTTTGTGTAGCTAAAAACTTTTCCCTTTCTTTGTGTACAAGAACAAAAGAAGTGCTAAATAAAAGCTATGGTGTAAAGTAGAAAAATCTGGTTTTCTTGTCCTTAAAATATACAAAACTGAACATTGAAATCAATTAATTTATAGACCTCTTCAAATCATTTAATTTTAAATGATATAGACACTACAAACATTTCAAATGTTTGGTACCTTTATATTATTTAACATCCAAACATCTCAATTTGAACCAACTGAAACAATTGTAATCAATTAAAAATCATTTAACATTGTGAGAAGCCACAGGCATAGGTATTTGACCTATGTCACTTACTGACACACAATCATTAGATTGGCTCACTAAAACTTTTTATAGGAGGGCTTTTTATAATGTTTAAAAAGATCTAGAGAGTAAATTCTAGATCTTGTCAGGATGATAACACCAGTTAATCAATTTTATCATATGCAGATTAATACGTGTTTTGAATAGCTATGGAGATGATGATTCTAGACCTTACTTTAATATAAAAACAAGTATTTAATAAACAAAGAAAAATTATACAAAATGGACTTTCAAATATATCTATTTATGCTATAGAGAGAGAGATCACAATTTCAGCTAAAATCATACTACCTCAAAGTATATTATTTTCTTCTGTATACAAGTATGTCCCTTTTTAATTCTCTATCGGCAATTCATTAATCATTTTCTTTATCTTCGTAACTTAGAAATAAACTTAGTATGAACTTCGTGATTCGAATATGGGCACTGGCCATATGGAGCTTATATGGAATATGTTTGTCCTCCTTGGGATCTTCTGGCATACTCCTCGAATGATACTGAAGAATCTCTTTTTTTGGATGATTTTCTCCAATGAGAGAATTGTATTATTCCCACGTGTTTAGGATGAGTGGGGGTTTACAGAGGGGTAACTGGACTGTACGTGACTCACATTTGAGAAGATAAGGAAAAACAAAAAGGATGTCAAACTTCCGTTGAGAAGGAAGTGAATTTTACCAGTTTCCTTCATTTTCAACATTAAAACTTTTCATTTAAAATCAGAAATATTATTTCTAAAAATTTATGTATTTGACATCGATTTTCAATTAATTAGGGGGGGTGTGTCCAGAATCTAACAACATTGTGTTATTATTGTAAGGATGGCTATTTATTCCTCTTTTAATATTGTTATTTAACTTGTTCTTTACTAAGGCACAAGAATAAGGTGGCATCGAGGAACATCTGAAAGGAAAAATGCTGCTGAGCTCCATTTGATTGATCTCCTCTGGTATAGGAGACTGAAGTATGGAAAGAATATAATTAGGTAAATTTAATTTACCAAAGATAGAACTAAATATGGTTGTGTATGTTAGAGGTATAAATTTAATTTATAAATTCAGAACTACACTACTTTATTTACATAAAATAATCTTAGAACAAATGATAAAAATATCACACAAAACATTGAAATTCTACAGAAAATATGCCTAAAAGTAAACTCAAAATTTGCAATAATTAAAAACAAAAAGAGGAACTATGATATTATATTAGAGGCAGTCAAATGAAAATGAGACAGATGGTAAAAAAGTTTATTATTTCAAAAGTAATTGCCATAACTGTTAATACATTTATCCCACTGTGAGACAAGACAGTCAATGCCTTCAGAGAAATATGTTTGCGGTTGCCTACGGAACCATGACTGTACCAGGCGTGCACCTTTATGTCCGAAGCAAATTGACGGCCATGAATGTCTTTCTTTGGGGCTCCAAAAATATGAAAATTGCATGGGGAAAAATCGAGACTGTATGGAGGATGTGTATGGACTATGCTGCAGAAGTTCCCAGTGAAACTTCTGCAGCGTAGTCAAAACAACCTTGGTAACATGTGGGTGGGAATTATCCTGCAACAGAATGATGCTGTCTGTCAACATTCCTGGGTGTTTGGATTTGACAGCACACTTCAATTTTTGCAAAGTTTCTATGTATCGCTGTGCGTTAATTGTGGCGCCGTGTTTCAGAAAGTCAACAAGCAGCAGACCTCAATAGTGATGTTGAACACACACGACTCGCCGACCTCACTTCGAGCACGTCTAACAGACAAATGACACAGCAGTGAATGTTCATGCTGTTCCTTCCTGATTCTCAATAGAAGGCACTTCTACATACACACCTACCTGCATTACCAACTTCCGTGCCACACTTGTTATACAGTCTGTCTCGTTTTCATTTGACTGCCTTTAATACTATTGACTGAAGATATAAATTTCCATCCAAGACAAAATACCTTTAAATTTCTGGAGAGAGAGAGAGAGAGAGAGAGAGAGAGAGATAACATTGATCTTCAAACATGAAGCCAAAAAGATCTGGACAAAGCAAAACAAACTCTGAAACATTTGATAAAAAAGTTATTTTTTCCAACAAGTTTAAACTTAAAAAATTTATTAAAAAAATCCTCAATAGAGAACAATCAAAAAAACCTTTAATGTCCAGTAACAAAATTTAAATGCAAAAACTGAAAACTTTTTCAATCTTAAAATGCATTAATGCAGGCCAATGATATTCCAAATTGGAATGCATAGAACACAAGTTTTCAAAATTTTTTTAAATAATTAGAACAAATATATAATGTAAAATAAAAACTGTAACTATACTTAATCAGTTGTAGTGATCTGTCACTCAGATTAAATTGTTTTTTTTTTTTTTTGTTGTATGTGTTTCGCATGCTCCGTTTGTGCCTGGGCACCACTTTTGTAAAAACCTGCGGGACTCTGATTGGTTTGTGACTCGTGACGTCAAAAACGAAGNACGGTCTTCTGGGTCCAGGCCTCTATCATAAAAGCTACTAGATCCAAATACGCAGTAAAATATCTAGAAAAATTGGAAATCCACAGGGCACAGAAGAGCACGCAGTGCATTAACTACTGAGATGCAGATGAGCTTTCGTCCACTTGGAAATCTCTTTGTGACAAATTGGCTTAGTTCTATATAAAAGGCTTAATCGAGCTTAAGATGATCCTTGATGGATAATTTATTTATTATTAATTTAATCATACAGAACTTTTGTGTGTATCTCTTGGCATATGCCCTGCAAACAGGATGCACTGAAGAGAAGAAAGAGCAGTTTTGGGGGAGTCTACATGACCATGTAGCATCGTGCCCTACAAAAGATATGCTCATGGTATGTGGTGACTTAAACGGCCACGTTGGGAGGGCCAAGAATGGGTATGATTGCCATGGTGGCTTTGGATATGGTACACAAAACAATGATGATTGTTGAATTCTAGACTTAGCAGAAGCTAACGACCTTATTGTTTGCAACACTTTTTTTCAAGAAACACACGAGTCATTTGATTACCTACACCAGTAGAAACAGCTGCAGCCAGATCAACTACATGCTGACACAGAGACATGAATTCAACAAGAGTATCACTGACATAAAAATCATTCCATCCGATTGTCTGACCCCCACAGCATAAGTTGTTAATCATCGACATGAAGATCACCACACAACGTCAGGGTAGCCACGTGAGAGGGCTGATGATGATTAATTGGTGGAAGTTGTGGAAACATGAAGCTGCCATGATCAATAGCATTACCTTCCCTGAATCCAACAAACATTCAATTGACACCATGTGGGATGCGCTCCATGACTCCATCACAGCTGCAAGGACGACCCTTGGAGTAAAAACTTTAGGTAGTCAGCACATTGATAAGCAGACATTTCCTCTGAACAGAGGAAGTACAACAAAAGATGCGAAAAAAGAAGAAAGCCTTTAGAGCTTGGAGTTCACCAATAAGATTGGCAAAAACTGGCAGCGGTACACTGCAGCCAAGCACGAAGCTAAGAGAGTGATGGCTGCAGCACAGGCCGAACACCATCGAGATCTTTACGAACAACTTGACACACGAGAAGGTAAAAAAAACATCTACTGACTAGTGAAAGCGCAAATAAGGAATGCGTGATACATCAAGCACTACATGTGTGTGAAGGATAAGAATGAACAGCGTCTGCGGGATAAGAAGGAAATCTTGAGCTGTTGGCGCAAACATTTTGATAAGATCTCAAACACTGAATTCCCACATCCACCGATTCCTGAGGGTCTGCCCTGCTCTGAACCAGTCCTTCAAATCATGGCTGGGGAGGTGTCTGCAGCGATTAGAAGTATGAAAAACCAGAAGGCACCAGGACCAGATCACCTGCCAGCCGACGTCTGAAGGTCATCTGGTCCTGCACACCGAGGCTACAACTTGGCTAAATGCGTTCTTCAATGCTGTGGTAGTCACTGGCCGATCTCCAGCAATCTGGTCCACAAGTATCACTGTACCAATCTTCAAGAACAAGAGTGACCCAGCAGAATGCTCCAGCTACTGGCCAATATGCTACTCTCTCTCACCATGAAAATCTTTGAGTGCATTATTGACTGATGTTTGCATGATATTGCTTGGATCAATGTCGGCCAGTGTTGCTTTGTGAGGGACTGTGGAACTACTGATGCAATCTTTGCAGCCCACAGGTTGATGGAGAAACACTGGGAGAAAAATAAACCACTATATGTCTTCCTCAACTTG